TAATGTATTATTATTAATAATAATAATTTGCGCACCCATGACAGAGGTGTATACAGCATTATGGGTAATATAAATGGAGAGAACAGTAGTAGTTACTATATTTGCTTCCAGACTCCCTCTCCCTGACTGATAGTCTGTATGACGTATATGAACGGAGCAGGCAGGAGGCACCCACGACTCAATTCAGCTCTGTTTCTAGATTTCAGGTTCAGCAATTTAGTTCTTTAACCACTTAAAGCGATAGTAAACTGCAAAAAATAATAACAAAAAATTCTTCTCCTTGCGAGTTAAGAGCATAATGTGCTAGGATGCATCGCATGCTAGCACATTATGAAAGACTTACCTGAAAATGAAGCCCTCCAGCGGAGCACTGGCTCCCCAGGGCTTCCATCTTCACCCAGTGTTCCTTCCAGGTTCACTGGTTGTGGCCGTTTGACTGGCCGAGCCTCAATGATGTCACTCCTGCGCATGCGTACAGGAATATCATCCGCAGCATGGCTCCCTCAATGGGTGGCACGTCGTTCATTGAGAGAGCAATGCGCTGGCGACATACTAAAGTGACTATCGCCTAAACAGGGCACGTTTAGGAGATAATTACTGTTCATATAGGTAGGCCTTATTATAGGCTTACCTGTATGTATAAAAAAACCTTGGACTTTACTACCACTTTGGGGGGCCTATGATACTAGCAGGGATCTACCGTTGGGGAAGGGGGGTATTGTTGCTGGCTGCTGGAAAGTCTATTGATTCTGGCTGCTGAGAGACCTATTGTTGCTGATGGGGATCTATTGTTGCTGCGGTAGATCTGTTGTTACATTTTGATGACGGGGGAGGCTGTTGCTGCATGATGGATCTACTGTTTCTGGGGTGGTCTATAGTTGCTGGGGGGATCTATTGTTGCTGGCTACAGGCAGGGGCGGACTGACAACTCATGGGGCCCCTGGGCAATAGGGGATCATGGGGCCCCTGTGTCCTTGCCCAAACTCAAAAAAGCCTATGAAAAAGGTAAAAGGGGCATCTCATGGGGCCCCCTACTGACCCCGGGCCCTTGGGCAGTGCCCATGTTTCCAAATGGTCAGTCCGCCCCTGGCTACAGGTGATCTATTGTACTGCTTTTTTGTTATCATTTGCAAATTCCATACAACTTACTGTATTCTCTAAAAGGGGCAGTACTTGGAGATGCGTAGGGGGTGGAACCAAGGGACGGTGCTTAGAGGTGAGTAGGGGGGCAGAGACAAGGAGGGACTCGGTAGGGGGGAGTACTTGCACCTATTCTCTGAGAAAAAAAGTCCTGCATGTTACACATTCCTTTTAACTGATACAGTCGCAGCTGAAATGATCATTGTAAGTGACTTACACTAATATGTTCAACAAGTTCAACGGTCAGTTTCTCTGCAAGCGCTGGGATTGTAGCATAGCCTTCATTTAACAGACCACTAAAAAATAAAAACAAAATATTGCATTATTTCTACTGCGGAGCTTTGTAGTCTCAGTCCATCCAAGGATAAATTATATAACATTTTCCTATTTCTTAGGCTAACAAGATTTGTATGATTCCATTCTAAGACTAATTTACAATCAGTACCATGAACAGCTTCCATTAATGACCATATAATCTTTATTTAGCAAAATACGTTTGATATATGACAAAGGATTCACACAGCACTATGTGTCAGCTAAAGAGAAAGCACAGTAAGAAGAGAAGCTCTTTTGCCAATTGGCCCAGATTATTTGATTGAAGCATCTGATGCCACTGCTCTAACTCATCGACATGTGTGTGAATTTCCGCTATTGAGCTACTGGATCTTGTCGATCTTGTTATTGAAATGACTGGCAATCTCCTGGGCAGTAAGTAAGTTGGTGGGTGGAGGCAGTAGGGGATGAAGTAAGGAATTAAGGGTAGAAAAGAGCCAATGAGGATTGGAGGAGAGGGTTTTGATGAGAGTGTTGTAGTAGGTTTGTTTAGCAGAGTGGAGGCTGGAGTTGTATTTGAAAAGGGCAGATTTGTAGAGGGTGAAGTCTTGCAGTGATTTAGTCTTACATCTTGCTCTTTTAAGAGCATGGCTGTGTCTCTTGAGAGGGAGGATGATAGTAAGGTGTAGATAGATGTGGCCAGGTCTGGGCAGGACAGGGGTGCAATTTTATCATAAAGGCACTCAGTAGCCTAGTGAAGAAAGGAAGGGCTGAGGGCAGAGGTTTCTACAGGTAACTGTTTGCTCGTTGGAGGCATGGGAGGTAGGAGACAAGGATAAAGTTGTGATCAGAGAGAGGAAACCGGTGTCAGATGGGTTACAGGGGGTGCTAGGTGGGAGAATACATGGTCTAGGGTGTTTCCATTAAAGTGAGTGGTAGTTTGTGTCCACTGTTTTAGGTTAAAATAGGAGGTTAGGTTGAGTAGTTGAGAAGTGGCTGAGGCATTAACTTTGACTGTGTAGCACCCTCCTAGTTAGCTAGGGGGAGCCAGAGTTCCAATTGTCAGTCAGGGGCTGAGTAGCAGCCCAGGTGCAATAGTAAGAAGGTCAAATATGGGTCAGAGCTGAGAGCCCTCTGGAATTTCCCCTGCTCTAGATATTTGGAGAAAGGTCTAGAAGCAGTGGGCAGATCTAAGGAGTTGCTAGCCTGAACTCTTAAAGGATCCTGGCCAATCACCAACAGGAGGCTTGGAAGGAGCTGTGACAACCTTTAAGTGTTACTGAGCCTGCTCAGCTGCAGGGGAGAGAGTTCGGGTGGTAGATGGAGTGAGAGGATGGAGATGTAGGAGCCTTCAAGGAGGGCCGGTGGGACGTGACCGATCTGCAGGCCGGGAGCTTTGAAAGAGGAAAGCTCAGAGCTTCACTGACCCCCAGTACCACCTGTGCAGCAGGTAATCAGCAGCCCAACTAGAAGGCCTGGTAGCAGCCACCAATCAATCAGCAGTAAAGGGGAGAATCTGAATGAGTAATCTTGCCCCCTCTGGGCCAGATAGGGGGAAAGAGCACTCTGGAACTGTTTAATCTTTTTAAAGTAACAGGCATCTGCTCTCCTGCTCAGGGATACCTCCAGACAGCTAGGTAAAGGAAAAGGAGTTTATCTAGGGCCTGTGGTGGAACACTAGGAAATGCTGGCTAGCTCTCCAAAACGAGACTGTGTTGAAAAAGGAGGCCTGTAAATAGTTCTAGGAAGCTCTCCTCAGTTCATCGGTTCCACTGAGCATCCTGTACACCCATAACCCTATTCCAGTTCAAATCCCCTAATAAAATAACAAAAAAAAAGTTCAAGGACTGGTTTCTAACTCCTGGATGCAAGTCTGTGTGAAGATGTGTATTGCCTGGCTGTGCAGGACTATAGGGGGAACCAAAATCTTTGCAACTCCTAAGGTGGTAGTGCTACAACTGGAAAGTTAAAGTCACTGAGGATGATGGTGGGTACCTCGGAGGAGAGAACGTAGGGTAGATAAACAGAAAAGTTGTCAAGAAAGCATGGCACTGGGCCAGGAGGTCGGTAGATGACTCAGATCCTCAGACAAAAAGGAGAAAAAAGGCAATACAGTGCACTTCATAAGAGCAGAGGAACAGAGAGGGAGGTGTAGGAAGAACCTGGAATGTACTTTGTGGGGAAAGAAGTCCAACTCTGCCCCCTTTTCATCCACTGGGTCTAGGTGAGTGAGTCCAGAGGAGGCCACCATGGGAGAGTACTAAACAATATGGTAGTGTGACAAGAGCACCCCTACCTGAAAACAGAAGGTTACTAAATGATCCACGCGGAGTAATATGAAAATTTTTTCATATTACTCCGCGTGGATCATTTAGTAACCTTCTGTTTTCAGGTAGGGGTGCTCTTGTCACACTACCATATTGTTTAGTATGCATTTTTTTGGGTTTATGGATCCACACTTATACAAGTGAGTCGGAGATATGATAATGACACCAGCTATTCGTGTCATTTTAGGTGGTTTGTCTCTGCTCTATTTTTGCACCATGGGAGAGTGCAGCTGAGGAGACAGAGTCAGATTCCAGGAGCAAGGTCTCGGTAAAAGCAGGTAGGTTGAGGGAGTGAGAGAGGAAGAGTCTATTGACAGGCAAATGTTTGTTAAAAACTGAGCGGGCATTCCAGAGGTTATATAAGAGGGCGTGGCTGGCTCGCGGAAGCAGGGGAATTGAGAGAAGAGAGTGAGGGTTGCGGCTGCTGCCAGAGAAGAGAGACTACTGGGAGTTTGATGGTGGAGGACCAGGGTTTGGGGTGATATCTCTAGAAGTTAGTAGTAGTAGTAGGAGGATGAGTGAGGTGAGGTGGGAGTGGGATTTATACGAGGGCAAATGCGATGATTTGGGAGCAGTGACATTATGTGGGCTCAGAAAGAGCAGGAAATGAAAAGAGCAGTAATATTGAGAGGGCAGAAGTGAAGGTAATATGTACAGGTTGTGAGGTGGCGAGGAGGGGTAAGGGATTGAGAGTTTGAGGAGAGAGGGCATTATAGCAAAAAAAAAAAACAGTAAGATCATGTTGGAGGGTGAGGGGAAAATAAGAAGGAAGACTGAGGGAAAGAGATAAGAGAGGAAAGAGCACTTGCAGACTACTTGGGATGGAGCACTAATATTTGTACTTGCCTTAGTTAAAGTGCCATGCACTTAGCGGCGGAATGGCACTTTGTGCAAAGAATGGCCAGCCGTCCCAAGAATTGTACTGTTTTTTACTTGGATGGACTGGGGGAGGTTAGATACAAGACACAAGATAAGGCTAGGTGTTTGATCTCAGCCAAGACACTATATGAGTAAGTTAACTTGAAGTGTTACTAAACCCCGGACCCTGTATTCACTATATCTGGTCTCCCCGGACCCTGCATTCACTATATCCGGTCTCCCCGGACCCTGCATTCACTATATCCGATCTCCTGGACCCTGCATTCACTATATCTGGTCTCCCCTAACCCAGCATTCACTATATCTGGTCTCTCCGGACCCTGAATTCACTATATCTGGTCTCCCAGGACCCTGCATTCACTATATCTTGTCTCCCCAGACCCTGCATTCACTATATCTGGTCTCCCCGGACCCTGCATTCACTATATCTGGTCTCCCCGGACCCTGCATTCACTATATCTGGTCTCCCAGGACCCTGCATTCACTATATCTGGTCTCCCCGGACCCTGCATTCACTATATCCGGTCTCCCCGGACCCTGCATTCACTATATCTGGTCTCCCCGGACCCTGCATCCACTATATCCGCTCTCCCCGGACTCTGCATCCACTATATCCGCTCTCCCCGGACCCTGCATTCACTATCTTCTGGTCTGCTAGGACTCTGCATTCACTATATCTGGTCTCCCCGGACCCTGCATTCACTATATCTGGTCTCCCAGGACCCTGCATTCACTATATCTGGTCTCCCCGGACCCCGCATTCACTATATCTGGTCTCCCCGGACCCCGCATTCACTATATCTGGTCTCCCCGGACCCTGCATTCACTATATCTGGTCTCCCCGGACCCCGCATTCACTATATCTGGTCTCCCCGGACCCCGCATTCACTATATCTGGTCTCCCCGGACCCTGCATCCACTATATCCGCTCTCCCCGGACTCTGCATCCACTATATCCGCTCTCCCCGGACCCTGCATTCACTATCTTCTGGTCTGCTAGGACTCTGCATTCACTATATCTGGTCTCCCCGGACCCTGCATTCACTATATCTGGTCTCCCAGGACCCTGCATTCACTATATCTGGTCTCCCCGGACCCCGCATTCACTATATCTGGTCTCCCCGGACCCCGCATTCACTATATCTGGTCTCCCGGACCCCGCATTCACTATATCTGGTCTCCCCGGACCCCGCATTCACTATATCTGGTCTGGACCCTGCATTCACTATATCTGGTCTCCCCGGATTCACTATATCCGGTCTCCCAGGACCCTGCATTCACTATATCTGGTCTCCCCGGACCCCGCATTCACTATATCTGGTCTCCCAGGACCCTGCATTCACTATATCTGGTCTCCCACAGTACACACAATATGGAAATGCAATTATTGTAGTAAATATCAACTAAATACATGTTCTCATCAGCAGTTAGAGCAGTCTTGTGACTTCTATCAGTGTCCAGCCCACCACTAGCTAAAGCTTGTAGGAGGAGTTTTCTTTCTGCTCTAGGACGATGGAAATCCCTCGACCTCTGTCTGGACAGTGCTTATTGGCCCTGTGCTGATCACACGCACTCTCCCAAGGAAAAAAAAAAAACCTGTCTAGCAATACACACCAGACTGGGCATGTGCAGAGTGCCTCCACACAATATGACTTACCAGAAGATAAGAGGGGGGCACTGGAAGAAGGGGAGGATCAGAGAAGTCAGGATTCAAACAGTATTTTTACACAATGCAGAGGATTAGGTTCCACAGTGAGTATAACAAGCATGCTTTACTGCATATACTGATTGTACTGTTGTGGGTTTAGTAACAGTTTAATACAGACAAGTACAAACAGCAGTTACAATAAGTCTAACAAAGCAGATGATTTCAGTTGTGAAAAATAGCTTAGTGTTTAAGAGAGGAGTGGGATCAGTGGTTACCTGAAGGAGCAAAGCAAAGGAGACATGATGAGAGGATGATGAGATGTTCTCGTGTTCAAGGTGCTATGCACTTAGCGCCGGAATGGCACTTTACCCAGCCTGTACCCCTCTCTGTGTGCCTTTCTCTTCTCTCACGGCCCTGAGTGTAATTCCTGGCTAAGCCATAAACCTGTCAGGTATAAATAATAGCGATAAGCCCAGGAGATGCCATGCAGCTCCTTGGACTCAACTCATAGCGTGCCTTCACTTTTACAAAGTGGCTGAATTCTTGGAATTCAGCTTTAAAATGTATTTGGGGCATAAAAAAGGTTTGGCTTATCATACACATTAGGCCCAATAAATGCTAAATCCAGAATACATAAAAAATTGAACTCTGGCAGATGTGCCCCCAAAATACCGGGAGAGGGCAATGGACATGTCACCAGTATTGCCTGTGTTCTTCCAGCCGCTGACCTGTTCCCCATTACTGACTTATTCAGCACTGTGTCTCTGTTCTCTGGCCCTCTTGGTGGAGAAGGGGCTTTGCTTCCTCATACAAGATCCTCTAGTAAAATGAGCAGTGAATAGTACAGTAGTGACATCAGGAAATATCATGTGGAATCTGGGGAGAGCAGCAGTGCCTTAGATCTCACACTGTAATAATACAGCTCTGAGGTTATAGACACAGATGTGCCTAGGCACACTCTCACACCAGGAAGTGCTCTGCTATGTAGGGATACAAGACAACAGGTTCATTTTTCAGGGTATGTCTTAGTTAGGCACAATTAACATATCACAATGGTCTTTTTATAAATCTTCAGAGAATCAAACCTAAATCTCTCTGAAAATAAAGGGCATTTAGCAGTTGTGAACTGCTAGACCCCATTGTGTTGTCTTCAGTGTACAGTAATAGTGGGAAGATATAAGGCAGATGTTGCAGGAAGGGTGGGTAGTATTCCTATTCCACAATTTGCCATCAAGCCAACTGGTGATGTGGCCCGTCTGCCAGGGGCGGACTGACAACTCATGGGGCCCTCGGGCAATAAGGGATCATGGGGCGCCTGTGTCCTTGCCCAAACTCAAAAAAGCCTATGAAAAAGGTACCAGGGGCATCTCATGGGGCCCCCTACTGACCCCGGGCCCTCGGGCAGTGCCCGAGTTTCCAAATGGTCAGTCCACCCCTGCCGTCTGCTAATGTACACCTGAATATACAATATATTGCCAAAAAGTATTGGTCGGCCTGCCTTTACACGCACATGAACTTTAATGGCCCCCCAGTCTTAGTCCGTAGGGTTCAATATTGAGTTGGCTCCGCCCTTTGCAGCTATAACAGCTTCAATGCTTCTGGGAAGGCCGTCCACAAGGTTTAGGAGGGTGTATATGGGACCGTTTGACCATTCTTTCAGAAGTGCATTTGTGAGGTCAGGCACTGAGGTTGGATGAGAAGGCCTGGCTCAGTCTCAACTCTAATTCATCCCAAAGGTGTTCTATGGGGTTGAGGTCAGAACTCTGTGCAGGTCAATCAAGTTCCTCCATCACAAACTCGCTCACCCATGTCTTTATGGACCTTGCTTTGTGCACTGGTGCGCAGTCATGGTGGAACAGGAATGGGCCATCCCCAAACTGTTCCCATAAAGTTGGGAACATGAAATTGTCCAAAATGTCTTGGTATGCTGATGCCTTAAGAGTTCCCTTCACTGGAACTAGGGGGCCAAGCCCAACCCCTGAAAACATCCCCACACCATAATCCCCCCTCCACCGAACGTTACACTTGGCACAATGCAGTCAGGCAAGTACCGTTCTCTTGGCAACCGCCAAACCCAAAAACATCCATCGGATTGCCAGACAGAGAAGCCTGATTGGTCACTCCAGAGAACATGTCTCCACTGCTCTAGAGTCCAGTGGTGGCGTGCTTTACACTGAGTGACCCTTTCCTTCACAATTGTTTGTAGAAGCAGTCTGCATGCCTAGGTGCTTGATTTTATACACCTGTGACCATGGAAGTGATTGGAACACCTGAATCCAATGATTTGGAGGGCTGGCCCAATACTTTTGGCAATATAGTGTATATACAGTACATTTGGCCTGATTGCATACAGTAGGGCATATACTGCATTCAAACATATTCTATTACTATGAAGACAGTCCTATGCATAAATTGTAAAGACCAAAATTATTGTCACGCTACCTAAAATGTTCATGGTTTTCGAAGAAAGCTCTCTCGTTCCTTATGGCGTCTTCTAGGCAAATATTATTCTGGATCTCTTTCTGTCCACGACACTTGACAATCATGAAGCCTTTCCGGAGTGTATAGACCAGGTTTTTTACGATGTTAACAATGTCTTCTTCTGCTCCTTTGTCAACCAGGTCAGGCTTGGTCAAGATCCCTGGGAGAGAAGTTACAGGAAATGTTCAGCATTGGCAAAGCCAGAAAGCCTTCCTTCCCAGTCTAAGGGTACTCAGTGGCAGCCAGCAGTCATTGTATTTGCTGCCTAGGTGCGGCATAGGAAAAAATATTTATTAGATTGGCTTCTGCTAGTTAAAGAAGAACTGAAGACAAAACATTTGTTTTTATTTTTATTTTGGATAGAGTAAGGAAAGGTTATAACTTTTTTTTGCTATCTGTGTCCCATTGGAGAGATTTCCCCATACTTCCTGTTCTATAGCCACCACAGGAAGTGAGAGGAAAGTCCTTTTAAAGTGGTTGTAAACCCTTACATATACCCAGTGAAGTGGCTGGCCTCAGGTGATACACAGGGATGAAAAAAATCCTCCTACATAAGTTGTACCTGTTTATTTGCGGCCGTCTTTTTTCCCACATCCATTCAAAGTGCAGAATTTACACAGGATCTCTCAGCTCTGAAAAGCAGCTGAAGTTACCTCCGTGAGGAGAAGTCTGAGAGATGATTGGAGGGAAGAGAGACCCCCCCCCTTCACACGGCTCACAGAAACAGAGCTGAAGCTGTCAATCTGCTGGAGGTCCCTCCTTTGTCACCATTTTTCTTTTGGTGTCAGAAAAACTTGTCAGAAGTGGCTCATGCTGATATCAGAGGAATGAGGCAGCAGACAGCAATGGCACTTAGTGCTCTGGAGTGAGACAAGTATGCATTAGAGAGGGATATGTATATGCTTTGTTCATATTTCATGTCTGAGGTTTACAGCCACCTTAAAGTGAGGAAAATCCTTGGTAGTCACCAGAACAAGTTTTCCCATTGGAATATTTCCCCTCTTTTTCTGTTCTGGAGACCACTTAAAATTGTGAATGTTCTTTCACTTCCATTCTTGATTATAGTTGTCACAAGGGCATAAAAAGAGGGTGAATCTCCCTAACCGGGTCACAACCAGCACAAAAAACTGACAGGTGTTCTAATCCCTCCCCACTCTGTCCAAAACTAAAAAAAGTTTTTCCTTTAGTTATACTTTAAAGCTCATCTCCTTGTAAAAATAAACCCATGCACTTCCTCCCACCTTACCTCCTGTTCACAATTGAAAAAAAGCCCCCAAAGCCTTTTCAGTTTTAGATGGCCTAACCCTTGAATTCAGATCCATCTACAACATAAAACACTTAAATATCTTGACTTGGTAAGCCTTGGTTGTGAATGCCCAGAATTTCTTGGTGCTGCTACTAACCCCTAATCTACAAAAAGTGCAAGTCATTTGCGGGTCAAGTGCTGCTACTAACCCCTAGGGGCAGTCTACAAAAACTGTGAGTCATTGGCGGGTCAAGTACTGCTACTAAGCCCTAGGGGCAGTCTACAAAAACTGCAAGTCATTGGTGGGTCAAGTACTGCTACTAAGCCCTAGGACAGTCTACAAAAACTACAAGTCAATGGCAGGTCAAGTGCTGCTACTAACCCCTAGGACAGTCTACAATAACTACAAGTCAATGGCAGGTCAAGTGCTGCTACTAACCCCTAGGACAGTCTACAATAACTACAAGTCAATGGCAGGTCAAGTGCTGCTACTAACCCCTAGGGTTGTCTACAAAAACTGTAAGTCATTGGCAGGTCAAGTGCTCTTACTAGCCCCTAGGGATAGTCTACAAAAACTGCAAGTTAACGGCAGGTCAAATGCTGCTACTAACCCCTAAGGGCAGTCTACAAAAACTACAAGTCATTGGCAGGTCAAGTGGCGTTACTTATCCCTAGGGCAGTCTACAAAAAGTGCAAGTCATTTGCAGGTCAAGTGCCACTACTAACCCGTAGGGTCAGTCTACAAAAACTGCAAGTCATTGGTAGCTCAAGTGCCGCTACTAATTCCTAGGGGCAGTCTACAAAAACTGCAAGTCATTGGCGGGTCAATTGCCGCTACTAACCCCTAGGGGTAGTCTACAAAAACTGCAATTCATTGGCAGGTCAAGTGCTGCTACTAATCCCTAGGGGCAGTCTACAAAAACTGCAAGTCATTGGCAGGTCAAGTTCCGCTACTATTCCCTAGGGGTAGTCTACAAAAACTGCAATTCATTGGCAGGTCAAGTGCTGCTACTAATCCCTAGGGGCAGTCTACAAAAACTGCAAGTCATTGGTGGGTCAAGTGCTGCTACTAACCCCTACAGGCAGTCTACAAAAAGTACAAGTCATTGGTGGGTCAAGTGCTGCTACTAACCCCTACAGGCAGTCTACAAAAAGTACAAGCCATTGGTGGGTCAAGTGCTGCTACTAACCCGTACAGGCAGTCTACAAAAACTGCAAGTCATTGGTGGGTCAAGTGCTGCTACTAACCTCTAGGGGCAGCCTACAAAAACTGCAGGTCACATGCTGCTTCCAAGAACTAGTCTCTAAAAACTGCAGGTCAAATGCGGCTTCTAACACCCTACAGGCAATCAACAAAACTTCAAGTCACAGACAGGTCAGGAGCTGCATCTAACCTCTAGGGGCAGCCTGCATTTCCCTTTATTAATCTTCATATCAGTTGGTAATGCATCAAAGTAAATTGATTTTCAGCAGCAGTTGGGTTAGGTTCTTTTTTACCTAATGTCCGCTGTCCGCTGGGGTCCACAGTTCTGGCCATTTCCAGAGCCTCTGTTGTTGCAATATCCACATTACTGGGAACCACAACCAAATTAATGGTCTCCTGTCTCTTAATGTACTTGCTGATCATCAGCTTAATCTAGGAAAACAGGAAAAGTTTCAGTTAGCAGTTTGCGGTAATGAAAATGTGACCAAATGTCAATGGGTTGTGCAGGTGAAAATAAAAGAAATTTGAGGACATTGCTAAAGCTATAAGTAAGCCTGTCCTGGTAGATATACAAGGACCACAAATTCTAAATTTCTTCTGAAAATGCTGCTTCTTTTCTTTTTGATCTAACATGCTTCATGCAAGTCAACAATTCTTGATCGTAGGTCTTCTGAGAGCTCTTTTCTGCGAGGCATGGTTCACATCAGACAGTGCTTCTTGAAACCAGTAAACCCAAAACAGGTGTGTTTTTTAAGGGCAGGACAGCTGTCAGCAACACATCCAATATCATCACACTGATTGGAGTCAAGGTTGGCTCACTCCTGGCTCCAATTAGCTCTGGGAGAAGTCATTAAGCTAGGGCCTCACATACTTTTTCCTCCCTGCACTGTGAAGGTTTACATGTTATGTGCAATTAAACCATGGCAACATCTAATGTTTGTGTAGTATTATGTTCAGCAGACTGTGTTCTTCTATTGTTGTGACTTAGATGACGTTCAGAGCACAATTTATGCCCAATTCATGCAAAACTCCACGTAATCCCAAGGGGTTCACATACTTTTTCTTGCAACTGTATTACTTATGTTGTTTCACTGTTTATGGGTATGCTGCCAATCCATGCTCATTGTTTTAATTACACTCAATTTTTTGCAATCCTTCCCTTTTGTATGATGTAACTTCCCTTCTTCCTCATTGCGAGTTCCTTTGTTATACCTGCAAGACACACATGAAGGCCTGGCAAGAAGTTTTCCTCTTGATCTTCCAACACTGGAAATGCCAACATACACTGCATTATATTGTTTGCCTCAACTCCTCTGAATGCAGATTAAGACCTGTAGAAGAAAACTTGTGGCGCCGCTCAAAGCCTAGAGACATATAAAAGGAGTCACCATGCCGGCAACGGAAATGGGAGCAGCATCTGCAGGCTATTTCAGAAGCTGAAGTATTGGGCGTATAGACGCCCAAGAGTCAGGTGTTCACAGGAGATGGCCTCAGCCGCCGCTCCGGCCACACACTCTGACGCATTTCACCCAGCCCACCAGGGCTTGATAACAGAGGCGTTTATCTTCTGAATGCAGTTTGATATTCATGGATGTCTTTGGCACCCTCTTACTTGAATGGGTCATGTTTGGTGGCAGTACTACCCGCCAAACATGACATGCAGCATACATGTTGTATTTGTGCCACCATTTTAGGTTAGAGTGGGCAGTAAAAAAAAAAAAAAACAAGGCTCAATTGCCTGTTTTTTATGACACCCCAACTGTATTAATGAGGCCTTAGCACTCGATAAGCAGTTGCAGCTTGCTTGCAGGTGCCTTTACCATGTAATTGAGATCAGTTTGAGATGGTTGGAGTTCCACCTACAGTAAGTACATTCACAGGTGTATTTGACTTCCAACTGCATCCATCTGCCCAGCCCTTTTATGTGAGGCATGCCATATGATACAGTATATGCAACACACCTTCAGTCCAATATCTGCCGGTTGATTGGCTAGGGCAACTCGTGTGATTCCTGGAAGATCGATCAAAGTCAGGTCTGGAACATTTGGAGATACAACTTCCAGGGTTATAAGTTCATCACTGACCCCGTTTCCTGCACCAGCCATGCAGTCTTGAGCTAGGAAAGAAAAAGAAGGAATTGGCAAACGACACAAGAATTTACTTTAGGAGACGCCTGTATTGATCAGGGCCGACAACTCACGAGTTTTCACGATTGACTTTCTATATGCTACAAGCGATATGTAGTATCATCAGCAGTACCAACCCTGAATATCTGCAGATTTCCACCACCCACTAAGTTTGGGTAAATATTTAAACTCCCTAAACCAAGTTAAATCTGATACTTGCTTCAGCATTGCGTACTTTTTTAATAGTATACCAATTTTTGTCCAGGTTCAGATTTTAAAGTGTACCTTCACTCTCCTGAATGACTTTAGGTTCCCTCACTTCTCCCCTTCTGCAATATAAAACTTTTTTTAAGGCTTTGTATTCTTTAATTTTTATCTGCCAAAACTTTATTTTTTTATCTATTGAAATTGGAGGACCTGGATAGCAGCAAAATACATTGCTGACACCACAATTCTGGAAGTGGGGCTTTGGGAGGTAAGTGTCCTAAAATGTGCATGTATGCTGTGGACATTATGGCAAGAGCCCACACACCACACACTTTGTTTTGCTCTGCATTGCAGAGCAATACAAAGCAGCATGCTTACACAGTAAAACACACAAAGTGCACATAGTAAAACAGCACACAGTTAACCCTTTGATCACCCCACGTTAACCCCTTCCTGCCCAGTGCCATTAGTACAGTGTCAGTGCTTTTTATTAGCACTGATCATTGTATTAGTGTCAGTGGCAGTTAGTCAGTGTCAGTTAGTGTCAGAATGCCCGCAGCAGTCCTGCTATAAGTCGCTGATTGCCCCCACTACTAGTATAAAAAAAAGTTTAAAAAAATTCCAGAATATATATATATATATATATGCCATTTATAGGCGCTATAACTTTCCCATAATGCTAGATTGTAAGCTCGAAAGAGCAGGGCCCTCGATCCCCTCATGTTTTGCATTGTATTGGTATTGTTCTGTCACATGTTCTGTCCCCCTTTGTAATGTACAGCGCTGAGTGAACCATTGGCGCTTTATAAATACTGTATATAATAATAATAATAAACCAATTAATTTACATGTAGTGGGATTTTTTTCTTTTAGCAAAGACATGTAGCAGAATACATGTTTAGCCTAAATTTCTGACGAAATCTGATTTTTAAAATTTTTTTTACTGGATATGTTTTATAGCAAAAAGTCAAAAATACTGGGTTTTTTTTTCAAAATTGTTGGTCTTTTCTTAGTTCATAGAGGAAAAAATAAAAACTCACAGGTGATCAAATACCACCAAAAGAAAGCTTTATTTGTGGGGGAAAAGGATATAAATTTAATTTGAGTGCAGCGTTGCATGACTGCGCAATTGTCAGTTAAAGTAACGCAGCGCCGTATCGCAATCAATGGCCTGGTCAGGAAGGGGGGGGGGATCCTCTGTAGGGTAAAGTGGTTAAAAAAACCTTTTGAATTTACATTAACATGTTACAACTTATTTGTGATTGTATTGATTGGGTCTAATATGAGGTGTTTAAATAATAAATAAATGCAAACTCTCTGTGCTGCCCCAGCCATCTCTGTGGAATGACATGCACCCTGAAAACCCATCTCTTCAGGGAAGCCTACCCCACCCCACCCCCTGATAACTTGCCGACCTCCTCCACTCTTCCTACCACCCCATCCCCCACAGCTATCTCCTCCTGTGCCACCATCCCCTCCTTCCTAGATTGTAAGCTCGAAAGAGCAGGGCCCTCGATCCCCTCATGTTTTGCATTGTATTGGTATTGTTCTGTCACATGTTCTGTCCCCCTTTGTAATGTACAGCGCTGAGCGAACTATTGCACTTTATAAATACTGTATAATAATAATAATAATGACATGAATGCTTTACCTTTCCTGACCTCACGTTCCACTTCACTTGGGTTTTTAAGTTTTACTTTTTGGTCACGGTACTTTATTTCACCATTCCACTTTGAGCCCTGTGAAGACTTTTTTAACTTGAGTTCCAGGGGGCAACGGGTGACAATGCCTTCATGAAGCAAAGAAAAGAAAAAGTAATAAAATCACCACAAAGAATGATTAATTACATTTTTAGATTTAACAATAGGGCCATTTCACTCAAAAAAAGTTATATTTCAGAGAAGAATTAGAAATATTTCTAATAGTTATGATATTTTAAAAACATTTTTTATATTTCTTATAGTTTATATTTTTTTGGTAAGCAGGTGGAGCTAGTAGCTCCTCTTTACATGCTTACCTATCTGTTCTTAGCTCTGTTGAAAAAAATAACCTGCTGTTTACAGTGCCCAATAGCTGAAGTTGAAATTTATACACATAGGTGATGAGCCATTTCCTGTCCACCATCCTTCTTACTGCTGCGTTTAAAAAATTGTGTCACAAAAAAAATAATAAGTGCTCCCAGAAAATGCAGAAAAAAAGGTGCACTTAACATTTTTTTTTTGCATAAGAGCCTGTCTAGTATTGCAACTGTGATTAGTAGATCTCAGGTGCAATGCACAGGCTCCTGCTTACTCTTGCTTCAGCCCTATGTCCATACCGAGGTACAGACAGTTGATTATGGAGCAGGAGGAAGTACCAAAGCACCCCCACTTGTGTTCCATTTACTACTAAATGCCCCCGTGCTGCAGTGGAAGACGGGACTTATAGTTTATTCATTCACAGATTTCTGTGAATGACATGGCTGTGTGGGCGGAGATATGCATGGCCATACAAAATGTAACAAGTGACGTGATCCAGCAGGGAAAAGAACACCCCCACCCAGGGGCGGACTGACAACTCACGGGGCCCCCGGGCAATAGGGGATCATGGGACCCCTGTGTCCTTGCCCAAACTCAAAAAAGCCTATGAAAAAGGTACCAGGGGCATCTCATGGAGCCCCCTACTGACCCCGGGCCCTCGGGCAGTGCCCAAGTTTCCAAATGCTGAGGCCGCCCCTGCCCCCCCACCCCCCCAAACTCTGTAATGGGGCAGTTAAAGTGGTTCTAAAGTCTCAAGGTTTTTTTACCTCCATGCATTCTATTCATGAAGGTAAAAAACCTGTGTGCAGCATCCCCCTAATACTCACCTAAGCCCTCTCTTGATCCAGCGATGCGCACTGGAGTCTTGGCTATCCTGGGACTCCCTCTCCTCATTGGCTGAGACAGCAGGGGGAGCCATTGGCTCCTGCTGCTGTCAATCCCAGCTAGTGATCCAATGAGAAGAGTGAGGGGGTGGGGCTAAGCCACGGCTCCATGTGTGAATGGACATATGGAGCAGCGGGTGCCCCCATAGTTAGGTGTTTACTGTCTCAAGGTTTTTTTACCTCCATGCATTCTATTCATGAAGGTAAAAAACCTGTGTGCAGCATCCCCCTAATACTCATCTAAGCCCTCTCTTGATCCAGCAATGCGCACTGGAGTCTTGGCTATCCTGGGACTCCCTCTCCTCATTGGCTGAGACAGCAGGGGGAGCCATTGTCTCCTGCTGCTGTCAATCCCATCTAGTGAGCCAATGAGAAGAGTCAGGGGGTGGGGCTAAGCCACGGCTCCATGTGTGAATGGACACACGGAGCAGCGGGTGCCCCCATAGTTAGGTCACCAGGAGATCCTGCGGGGGACCCGAGCAGAGGAGGATCCAGGCTGCTCTGTGTAAAACCACTGCACACAGCAGGTAAGTACATGTTTGTTATTTTTTTATTTTTATTTAAGCCTTTATAATCACTTTAAAAGTTGGGGGTGGCTTGGCACCATGTTACACCCTAAATATGGGTGTCACATAAAAAAGGGTGTATAAAAGGTGGACTTAACCTTTAAGTTATCCAAAGCATTCCAGTGCAGCAAAACGTGGCCTGGACATCTAGGAATCAATAAGTTCTGGTCATAGAAAAGATGAATGTACCTATTTATATTAATGGATGCAATTTTTTTTATGTAGGCAGTCTTTTTCATTAATTATACATGCAGGCTCTGCTTCCTACACAAGTGTTGCTCAGTGGTTATGCTTCAGTGTTCCATCCACTCAATGTAACCTCACTAGTCATGTCTGCATTATAAAAAGCAGTACTGCTTATAAAGGGGTCTTATCACGGATGGCTGAAAGAATTCTTACCACTTCCTCTGGGTAGACACACGCCGGAAAGGGCCTCCAGTACAGAACTTTTCCCCGAACTCTGGTCACCAATGACAGCAATGGCCGGCAATCCCAAGTCCTTCTCCACCCCCAGTGACCTCAGGGAGTCAATGAGATCGATGCAAGGTCGGATCTTGTACTCGTATTGTTGGTTTAGGACGTTCTCTGGCTCTGTCTTGACTGAAATCTCTGTAGAATCATGAGAAAGAAGGACTTGTGCAGAGGGCTGGAGAGAAGACAGATATAAACTGGATGATTTAACTATTGGACATGTACAGAACAAAAAAAAAAAATTCAAATCAATTTGGTAAGTCACTAATTTCATTTTGCTGCACAAAATTTGTTTCATTGAGTTACGTTTATTCATTTTTGACCGGACTTAAAATTTTGCATTGGATTTTAAGTTTTCAAATGAAATTCGAATCTAAAATAGCTGGTTCTATTGTATTTAAACTTTGAATTTCAGAAGACGGTTATATTCTTTGTATACTAGGCTATTTTATTTTTTTCTATTCTCTCTTTTCTGTTTTATTCTTTTATTTTCTATTCTATTCTATTCCTTTATTTTCTATTCTACTTTATTCTATTCTTTTAATATTCTATTCTGTTCTGTTTGTACTCTATTCTTTTCTGTTCTATTCTATTCCATTCTATTCTATTTTATTACTTTTGAAATTCGAATTATGGAAGACAGCTATATTGTTTCTATTTTTTCTATTCTAGCCTATTATTTTTTTATTGTATTCCATTTCTTTATTTTCTATTCAATTCTATGCTTTGATTTTCTATTATATGCTATTATATTCTTTTATATAATATTCATTTATTTTCTATTATATTCATTTCTGTTTTATTCTTTTTTTTCGGAAGACTGCTATATTCTTTCTATTCTATTCTATGCTATTCTTTTATGTTCTTTTATTAATTTTTTCAATTCTGTTCTATTATTTTCTATTCTATTCCTTTATTTTCTAGTCTATCCTTTTATTTTTTATTCTATTCTTTTATACTCTATTAATTTCTTTTCGAAGTTTGAATTTTAGAAGATGGCTATATTCTAACACTAATAGACATAGTATTTGAAGGAAATCAGCAATATGTTTATATTTCTAATTTGATCCCAATTTGAATATCAGACGAACTTTCGTTTCATTATTTCAGACTTGTTTAAATTCTGTTCTTTAATTTCTATTCTATTCCTTTATTTTCTAGTCTATCCTTTTATTTTTTATTCTATTCTTTTATACTCTATTCATTTCTTTTCGAAGTTTGAATTTTAGAAGATGGCTATATTCTAACACTAAAAGACATAATATTTGAAGGAAATCAGAAATATGTTTATATTTCTAATTTGATCCCAATTTGAATATCAGACGAACTTTCGTTTCATTATTTCAGACTTGTTTAAATTCGTTGCTAATGTAATTCAGAAATTCGGATGTATCTGAATCTCCTAATAATGTAAATTTCCGGAGGAGGAGGCAGGCATCTGGGTCATGTGACCACTGTGAATGGCTGTCACAGCGGTCACATAATCGCAAAGCTCCTAATCACTAGTATGCTTCGGGAGCTTTCTGGTCACCGCCGCTACCTGTGCTGGGAGCACGCAGTTGTTTATTTTGGGCCGCATATATGAGGCCTCTCGGCGTTAAAGCCCATATGTGCCACGTTGGTGGGAAGAGATTAACATGAATTGTTAGACAGGGTCAATTTGTTTTTTCTGCAGGCTAGCTAGTAAGTGTGTTTGGAAATTTTTGTTTGTTTTGTGATGTGCATTGCCCTTCTATGTGCACCTTACTGCAAAGGCTAGTTATGGATTGCGGTGGTTGCCACTTGTTTGCACAGCTTGTCGGATGGACTTGGCGTGGGGACACACTGGATGCCTTCAGCTGCCATATGCTCTTGCTGGGCGTCCAATGTGTCCCTGGGCCTTTAAGAAGGAGTGGGCTCCCTCCAGGCAGACCTGTCTTTAATCTCTCCACTGCTATATGTGCTCCAGTTTGTAGACTCTAAAACTATTGAGTTAGGACTTCAGTATACTAAGGAGCCTTGACGTGGGCATTGCCGCTTCCATATATATTGGCAAATGTGTGCAACTAACCCTCTGTCTTTAACCACCGTTTATCAACATGGGCCGGACGGGAGCGCTGCCGAAGCGGATGGACGTTTCTAAATGTCCCCCCGCATCCATTGCCTGTGCGCACTCCCTGGGAGTGTGCAGCACTGCAATCGGTGTCTGCTGTGTCTGGGGGAACACAGATCACTGTACGGAATCTTTGTGTGAGGTCCCAATTCATGTGATCACTGATTGCCCAATCAGTGATCACATGAACAGCAGTAAACAAGATGTCACTTCCTGACATCATTGTTTACTAGTTGTGAAATCTGTGAATGATCACAGAGGTCACATGGTACAAGGCCCTTCACAACAGCCTTGTACCATGTGGCAAACTGTGACCAATCACAGCTCTTACAGTATTTCTCAATGGCTGCAGGAATGCAGCCAGAGAGAAGGAGAGATTATTTATTTCAGGTACTTATATAGCGCCATCAATTTACACAGCGCTTTACATATATATTGTACATTCTCATCAGTCCCTAACCCTCAAGGGGCGTACAATCTAAGGTCCCTAACTCACATTCATACATACACATACTAGGGCCAATTTAGACAGGAGCCAATTCACCTACAAGCATGTCTTTGGAGTGTGGGAGGAAACCAGAGTATCCGGAGGAAACCCATGCAGGCACAGGGAGAACATGCAAACTCCAGACAGGTGGTGCCGTGGTGGGGATTTGAACTGACGACCCTAGTACTGCCAGGTGGCTGTGCTGCTAATGATGCTAATGGTATAGCCTTTACGGGTGTAAAAGCAATCAGTGCAAAAAAAGGAAAAAAAATCTTCATCACACCCCACAAGTAGTACAGTGTCACTATGGTGACACTGTACTGCTAGGGTGACAGTATGTTAAAAAAAAAAAAAACCATAAATAATATAAAAAATTAAAATAAAAATGTAAAAAAATTAGAAAAATTATAATTTTTGGTTATAAACTAATTTGGGTTATTTTTTTTTCTAAAAAGATAGATGAATCCATTTTGGCCAAGATTTATGAAGAAAGATTATTTATTTGCAAAATTTTTTCAACATTTTTGGACTTTTTCATTTATATAGCAAAACAATAAAAATAAAAATCCCAGCGATGAATAAATACCCCCAAAAGAAAGTTTTATCTGTCTCAAAAAAATGCTAAACAATTCATATGGCTACAGTGTTGCATGACCGCGCAATTGTCATTCAAAGTGTGAAGCTGAAAATTGGCCTGGACTGGAAGGGGGTGAAAGTGTCAGGACATGAAGTGGTTAACCTCCCTAGGGGTCTGATTATGTCAATATTTCTGTGCTCAAAGCGGTACATTTTTTTGCATGGAAATATGTATTTTTTTTATTGTAGGCTTGTCATTTTTAGGAATAACTCACTGAAATCTGTCCGAACAAGAGTCTAGTAAACATCCCGGGTATGTTACACTTTGAAACACAAAATCATAAATTATAATTTAATAAATAATCATAAAAATAATAATAAATTTAATTCAATAATATAATCAAACCAAAAAACACTGAAATTTGAAATACAGCGCCAAGTTCGCACATCACTGAGCAAAGTCGCAGAATCGTTTTCAGTGTCTGATGACGAATTTCCCCCACGAATCATTATCACTCAATTCTGCAAGTGGTTCTGATTTACTATCGCTGTTCTCTAGCCGGTCTAAAACCGCTTTGGACCTAAAGGGACGCTTTTTGGACGCCATGGACTTTTCTCAGTTTCTAGGCAGAAAGAACAGTAAAAATGCAGGCAGGGCGCCGGACAAAGCACTCGGGACAAAATGTATGTGAAATGGTTTGATACAGGAATGTTATACTATGTGATTTTAGTGAATGTCACTTTTTGTCATTTTCAAATTTCCCACCGGTTCCGTCCCCCGAACGTCCCGACGTCGCAGGAAGCGGAACCCAGAAGACAGATGACGACATCGGCCGGAGGACATTACAGGGGACACTGCAGGGGGGACATCGCGGGAGCGCAGGACAAGGTAAGTGAAGAAGAGATCCCGGAGCAACGCTGCAGTGTATTCCCGAGTGTAGCTCGGGGTTACCGCTTGTGGTGCTGAAACTTTACCCCGAGCTACACTCACGGGAATACCGCCAGGGGGATTAACGGAAATTGATAGATAGGGTCTATTTGATCTTTTTGCAGGCTAGCTGGTAAGTATGCTAGGAAATGTTTGTTTGTTTGTGATAGTCTCTACTGTACTTGTTATTTTTTTTAACATTCTCTTCTATATCTCCAGTTATCCCCCACTTGTTCCCTTTCAAGGTTAGGTTGTGCGGTTGTATGGGTGGTACACAACGGGGTGCATGTTACGCAGTATCACCCTGGTACTGACACCTTTCTAGTCATGTCCTTTCTATAGATTTGCAAAAATTATGATGATAGCTGTCTGGCCTATATTTGCTTTTTCCTTTTTATGTGTTTCCCATGTTTCGCACTGCAAATGAGCATTATTACGCTTGACAGCACAATTCGTATATTCTACGCTGTGTAACCCAACCAAAAAATGTATTAAAAAGAAGAACAATGCACAGAACTAGAAGCCTACATACCTCTTCAGCTGCTGTGGCTGCTCCTTCTTCTGCATCTTCTGCTGCAGGAGCTTCTGAAACTGAAATGTTTAAAAATAAGATCACAATGTTAATGGGACTACAGAATACTTTTGTATAAACTATGTCTTGTCCTGGTGGGGCTCCCATTTATTGAACTGGATTCCTATACAGTTGTAGAAATTGGTCTAGTTATGAAGCGTTATGAAGCGTCCCAATAAGAAAGTAGCCTAATGACCCTTTTTTTAACCTCCTCCCGGCCCTTTAAGGGGTTTCAGATGCCGGGAGGTGGGGTTTTAGGGTCATGTGACCGCCGTGATAAGCTGTCACAGCAGTCACATGATCGTAAAAGGTCCCGATCGCAAGGGGAGATCGGGACCATTTCGCGAGACACCGACATATGTACTGGAAGCACACAGGGCTCTCAGCACATATGTATTTTCAAATGGTACGCAAATATGCGGCCGCTCAGTGTCGATGCCCAGCCGCCAAGAGGCCACATATTTGCATACGCTCGGCGTCAAGGGGTTAATAAGTGCTAATATGCCCATTGCAAAAGCACAGTGTATGTGATGTTTAACCACTTTTCCCGCCACCCTATAGTTTAACTGCTGCTACAGGGTGGTAGGGCTGCGCAAAATCACGTATATATACATGATTTA